GTTAAGATGTGTAAAGAAGAAGAATGTTGAGGAAAAAACGGAAAACCCATGAAATGATTAAGAATAATTAAACTTTTTCTTCTTTCATATATTCAATTGATATTTCAACTTGTAACACTTTTCAAGTGCAAGTACAAGCAAAAGGTTTTCACTTAAAGCAAGACTCGAGTGTTGGCCAAGTCAAATGGATGAAATGAAAATGTCAATTTTGTAGAATCGCTTTCAATCACATTTGCATTATTACCTTGTAACAAGGTTTTTCATTTCATTTCAATTCTTGTTGCTCTTTAAATTATACCGTCAACATGAAAGGCTGACTGATCATTCGACTATGATGTTCAAAGAGATTTGGCTTTCTTTTTCATCATCATGTTGATGAAAAAACAACAGAGAAAAGAAAAGCTCTTCATTTTGGCTCATTTTTCTTTGCACCTTTCATGAGGTGAGCATAAAATGCTCAAACGTATTTCGATTTTCTTCTTCTTCTTCTTCTTGTATTTTGCACATCAAAGTTCAGGCATCCGTAACACATCAGAACAAGAAAAAAGAGTTGAGATGATGATAAGTAGAATGCAAGAGTAAAGGTTAAAGAAGATGATGAGAATCGAGAATTACTCGACTTTTTTTCACTTTCCCTTTTCACCTTTTCATTCAATTTCTTATAAACTTCGAACAACCTTTTTGTGTGTTTCTTCCTTTGAACTCAAAGTTATATTGCAATTGAAAATGCACTTGAATAGTGGCACAGCTTTAGAGCTGAAAACTAATTCTGTATCTGGTTGGGTGAACAATAAATCCAAGAAAAAGGCATAAAAAGATCAAATACGAAACTCGAAAGTACAATTTAAACTGCAAAATTAGCTGCTCTAATTTGTCAACAGTGAAAAGAGTTAGACTTTCAATTTTTCTTCATCCGTAAATTGTGATTAAATTTACTGTTAACTATTGTAATTGCCTGGCAAATGGAAGAGAAAGATTCCAATTTTTGGAAATTTCATTTTCTAACATTTAGCACATTTTTTCGCCAAGATAAAGTTCGATGGATTCTTGTCTTGCAATTGTGACTTTCTTGTCAATGATTAATGAAAGGTAAAACCTTAAAAGGAAGGGAATATCGAGCAATTGCGAAAACTTTGTATTGACTGAATAAATTGTTATCCATGTCAAGGTTAATGAATTTTTGATGTTTTCTGATTGAAATTTTGCTCCAAATCTAATGGTTACTTGAAGCATTTCATGCTGAGAATTTTTTACCTTTTTCATTGAGAAAACTTTTCTTTTCTATCATTGATTTTATACATTGAAATGAGTGCCAATTTTTCTTGCTTCCCTTTTCTTTGCTCTCCTGACTTTGAACCAATTTCGAGCTTAATAGATTCTTAACTTTATTTCCTTATTCTCACTCTTTTGGAACGGCATTTAACTGAATTAAGTGAATAAAGAAATAGGATCAAAAATGAAATAAAATGCGAGATCAGAAAAGCTTGATATCAACACATCACAATCATCAATCATAGTTGAATAAAGTGTGAAAAAAGGAACGGATAACTT